TTAGGTAATTCAAAAGTAGGCATCCTTATAACAAATAACAGGCTGGATTAAATTGACTTTTTCACTGTGAAGGTTGCACCATAGCTAGTTAGCTTAAACGCTGTTTCGAATGGAATTGACGCTGCGAATTGGTGGAACGCAGATAGGAACTCCATGCCACGAACTGGAGTTATGCAACCGTGATCAAATTTAGTTTAGTGACACTACTCATAGTAGTTGAATATACAACTACATCTGCAGTTGACCGTAAGAATTTGCTAATGTAGGTGGGATTTCCAGGTCGGAGAACTCGCCTCAGGCTCACTGCGAAACTGGACGGATGGAAACTTCATCCTTACATTCGAAGTACGTGCCTGAACAACGAATTTCACTATAGAGAAGTGATGGAAAGAGAATCCTTACGTCCAATCGCAATGAGGCTGGACCTTACCGTGGTGCGATGGTTTGTGTGCCTCAGTGATCCATTGAGCTATACTGGGTGGTGCTTTTGTTGCACCTTCAGAGCCACTCACATCAGACTGGTCAATGGTTAGAGGCCAGACAAACTCAGCCTCCTGGTCTTCCAGGTTGGGGGTTGGAATGAGGGTGACATCTTATTCCTTAAAACGGACTCCTTGTAGCCCAACGACAAACCCGCTGCCTTGCGGTAAGATTTTTGAACCAAAGGCTTTGGTTGAGAACCCTAATTGTTTTCCTGTCTAGGCCTGGGCAGCCTGACAGTATCCTACCCACGCAATCCTATGAATCTCTCTTCAAACAAATTTCTTGATGCTCTGGCCACCGCAGAGGATAATCAACGATGCCCTATCTGCCGCATCGAGCAGGGTGGATAGGGGTTTGGATGCTACTGCTCAAGCCTTCCCGTCTTCTTATTCCCCCTCTTACGCCTTTTCACCTTTGCTGTCCCGTTTCAACTTCACTTTTATCCCCCCTGTTTTCAACCGCCCGATTCTTGGCCCTCCCACAACATGCTTTGCTAGGCCTTTATCTTCTAATTTCAACTCACATGCTAACGCGGAGCGTCACTCCTCTCCTGTCGATAAGCCCATTTCCAACCAAGCGGTTCATTCCAGTTCATAGGCTTCCATTTGGAGCCCTCGATCCTCCTTCAGATTGGCATGCCTCAATGTACGCACATTGCTTCAGATCGGTCAACAGGCAGCACTTGCCGGACATTGGAGACCCCCTCGATCGATATCTGCTGCTTATCGGAGACCAGCCTGCAAGACTCGAGCTCTGTGCTCACTCTGCGATCCCCTTCAGGTGACGCAAGCAGTATCTTCGCATTGCGCCTATCCGGTGATGATGCAGCTTCGAGCACCGGTCAAGCTGGTGTTGGCATTGCCCTGAGTCCCCGGGCTGAAGCTGCTCGGGTTGATTGCATTCCAATCAGTAGCCGGATGTGTGCGGTCCGAGTGGCTGGCTCGTTCAAAGCTTCAAAACCGCGTGTGATTAACAGGTGTCTATTCATCATCGCTGCCTACGCGCCCACAAACTGTAGCGACGATTCGATAAAGGACGACTTCTACCGTCAAATGACCCAGCTCCTTCGTCACAGAAGAAGCACGGACACTGTTGTGCTGGCGGGGGATCAGAACGCAAAAGCTGGAAAGTTGTCCACTGATGAACTGCATTTGGGCGGTCAGCACGGTGTAGGCTCCCGTAATGATAACGGTGAGCGGTTACTTCATTTGTGTGAAGATGCCCGCTTATTTCTTGCGAGCACTAACTTCCGACACAGCACTCGCTGGAGGGTGACTTGGCGCCCACCAGCCTCGAACTAGCCTTGGACGCAAATCGATCACATTGTTATCAGTTACCGCTGGAGAGGCTGCATCCAGAACTGTTGCTCGATTTAGAGCACATGCGTGGACACCGATCATGCACTTGTATGTGCTGACATGCGGATGCGTTTTGGCGGACGCCCACGACGACGCTGTGAGTGCATTGACAGCAGCCAACTAACAAGGCCAGCTGTTCTGAATGCGTATCGAACTACGATGACATGCGAGTTGAGTAAGCGCTCACTGGAGACAATTGATGGTCACTGGTCTCATATCCACTAAACCTTACTAGCAGCATGCAAATCCTCATGTGGTATGTCTAATAGCCAACATGGACATTGGGTCTCTTCGCGGTCTCTGGAACTTATCGATGATCGCCGGCATATTCCGGCTGGAAGCGAACACAATGAAACTCGCAAAGAGTTCCGGGCAAGACTCCGTGCTAGCCTGAAGAGAGACCGCGAATCTTGGTGGTCTCATCGTGCGTCAGAGATGGAAGTGGCCGCTGCCCTTGGTAACCATCGTAAGTTATTCCGTCTGATACGAGAAACGGGCAGCAGGAGACCTGGTGCTAGTGACGAGAGTGGACAGCCTATCCACAATTTGTCAAAGCGTTTGGAGCGTTGGGCTGAGCATATTGAAAAACAATTTAATCGGCCAGAATTGTTCGATTCTTCGCCGGCCAGTGATCGCCCTGCTCCGTGGGCTGTCCCTTTGGATCCACTCTCTCGCTCAGAAGTCGAACGTAAGATCGGACTGTTGAGGTTGAACAAAGCCGCGGGACCAGATGATCTTCCTCCAGCAATCTTCAAATTCTGAGACTCTGCTCTTGTTGATGATTTACACGAATTACTATTGAAATTGTGGGAGCAGGAGACTGTCCCAAGCGACAGGAGCCGCTCCGTTATTGTTACCATCTTCAAAGGAGGCTCGCGTTCGGAATGCGGCAACCAAAGAGGAATCAGTCTGCTCTCTATCGCCTACATAATTCTTCACAGATTGACTGGCGCTCGTGAAAGCTAGATTCGTGAGGAGCAAGCCCGGTTTCGTCGGGGGTCGTGACTGCGACGACCACATCTTCACCTTGCGTCAGTTGTTGGAGCACCGTCACACATATTGGCGGCCCACTGTAGTCGTGTTCCTCTATATCAAAGGTGCCTTCGATTCGGTTGATCGATGTGCCCTTTGGAATTGTCTACTCAGGAAAGGTGTGCACGAGAAATACGTAAATATTATCCGAGCATTATACGCGCGTAGCACGGGCAGAGTGAGGGCTTACGGCAAGCTGTCGCCACCTTTCATTATCAGCAGCGGTGTGAGATAAGGATGCCCGCTGTCACCTTTCCTCTTCAACTTCGCTAATGACGAAGTCATGGAGATTGCATTTACAGGACATGACTTGAAAGGTGTGGAGCTACTCCCAGGAGAACGACTTTTTGGCCTAGAGTATGCAGACGACATTGCCCTCATCTGTGACAGCTCCCAGACGTGCCAAGCCGCGCTGGACAGATTAGCACTGGCAGTCAGCCGCTTCGGGTTTTGCTTTGCACCATGGAAATGCAAAGCGTTCGTCCAAGATTGGCAGCGATCATCACCGGCGCTGTCCCTTGGTGGGGATCAGCTAGAAGTCGTTCAAAAATTCAACTACCTGGGAAGTTGTATCAGCGCCAATGGGATTGAAGATGAGATCACGAACCGTATATCTAAAGCTCGAAGTGCTTTTGCTAACCTTCGCCACTTATGGCACCGGCGCGACATCACTCTCTCCCTGAAGGGTAGAGTGTACAATTCAACAGTACGTTCGACCTTACTGCACGGTTGCGAAACCTGGCCCCTAAGACCAGCGGACATAAAGAGGCTAGTTACGTTCGACCACCGGTGCCTTCGCAATTTGGCTCACATCTGGTGGGAACACCGCGTGAGTAACGAGCGTGTTCGACGCCTTGTTTACGGAACATGAAACGGAACTGAACCGCTCAGCACCGTCATTTCACGCACCAGGCTCCGATGGCTCGGCCACGTGTTGCGCATGCCAGCCCACCGACTTCCGTGAAGTGAGGTGTTTGCTTACCGGGGGTGTGGATGGAAGAAGAGGAGGGGTGGTCAAGCGATGACTTGGTCCGGAGGAATGAAGGCCCTCACTTCGGAGCTGGCCTAGGTTGGAGCGTCACGGCTCCCTGGTTGGGGTCCAAAAGAGGATGAACACGTTTGGCTAGATACACTTGCTAACATGGTAAGGAGCCGACCTCAGTGGCGTTCCTGCTGTGAGTCTCTTTGTCTCTCCCCACCCATTTTAGCCTCCCCCTCCGCCTACGATCACATTTCGTAGCGTGATATAATTTTACATAATAATTTTACTTTTTGCCTAATAGCCGGTTGGTAGCTTACCGGAACGATGCCCATCCGTTGCTGGTAGCTCACCTGGCATGCAACTGTTGTATTTATTTTCCTTTTCCTTTATGTGTTGCGGCACAGTAGCTGAGGTGGTTTCCACCTCTAGCTAACGTGTAGAATGATGATGATGATGATGGATCTTTACGACCAGCCAAACATGAAACAAATAGTAAGACACCTTTACAGTATGCCAAAGACTGAGGGCGTCAGGCTATGAACATGATAGGTGCACTTCTTGACCGCACAGGAAAAGGTGACGGCAGTATCAGAAAGGATGAAATTATTCATGAGACAGAAAAGCGTTCCGGAGCAATGAATTGCAGACTACCGTGATTAAAACGAGATCAGACGATAGGTTCGTAAATGTTGATGAACTCCCAGAACTCAGTGAATAACTGACCTGGGGCGAATGGTCATGGTAATCCGAAACTCAGTTGTAAATTCAATGTGGTCAACACATTTGTTTGGGGATGCATCGAAATCCGGATGGTATATAAAATGACAACAATATTCACTGAGTGCATAATTCCAGTTTTACGGGGGATTGCATGCTGTGAGTTCTACCTCCAGAGCCTAGGAGTGAAGAACGGAAAGTGGAAAATACTGACATATACACAGGGGAGACGTGACAAACATACACTTTAACTGATGAACCGTGCACAAAAATTAAGGAATGCCTGTCCAAAACACTTCAATGTAAGATGACCCGGTTAGAAAATCCAGAAACCATAACTTCGTGGGCATAGAGTGCATGAGCAGCTACGGGACCTGTGACCGCATCGACCGACAGCATTTAAACCGCGTTTGCGGCACCGCAGCATCGATTTGCAAATCCCCTTCTAAGGTGCATCTGACGCACAAAGGGCCCTGCTCCTATAATGTCATACTCTAAAACTTCCAACAGAAATTAAGCATGGGCGAGTCAGTTGCAGAGATAAAACAAACGGTTACGGTTGGCGAGGGACAAATAATTGCGAGCAAACATGAAACCAAACGTTTGACCCAGGACGGCGCACACCAAATGAACAACGAAGGTCGTGCCAGAGTGACCACAGAGACACAGGTGGATTTGATGGAAAAGATAGTTGTGACAAATGACACTCTGGTCGGCTGGCCAATACGATTATCTTCCGTGAATGTACACGAGCACGAGGAACAGCAAATTGTCAGTTTGGATGATGCGCGACAGGCGGCTTCTCCAACAAAAGCTAACGTGGAATCCAGTAGTAAACCAATGGAATTTAACGATGGCGTAATCCAACCATCGCTGTCAATGTCGGTGCAAGTAGGAAGTGTGTTTAACCATCAGTTACTCAACGGCACCGGTTTTAACATACAAACGAGGGTAGAACTCAGAAGTACCTCACCAGAGCATAATTTTATGGTACAAAATGTGGTTGGCTCATTCACCTTCACTGCAGACCCAGAGGGAACTGAACTCCCGGCCCCTTCGGGGCCTGCAAGTGAGAGGGTAGATCAACCAGTGAGTCAAGGGCAAAGTGCGACGAATAGCGTCATAAGAGCTGTAGAAATTGAAGACTCAAGAACCGAAGTATCTCAATCAGAACACACAATAACGGAGAGCAAATTAGTGGCTCGGACAACGGAAAATTTTGAAAACAAACACATGCATGGATCTCAAGTCGGTCAGGGAGGTATTTGGATCAAAAACGATGAAGCGTTAAGTAAACAAGGCTCTGATTTGCCCCAATACAGTGTAATGAGTGAGCCACCAGCTAAGACAGAGAGACAGCATTCATGTGTAGCGGATTGTGCATGCCCTTTCTCACAGGCGGAGTTAATTGGTGGTCAAGCAACTGTTTGTGATGAGTTGCCACAACAGGTGGTTCAGACACAGTACGAAGGCGTTGGCCCCTTAGGTGTAACAGTGGATCGTGTTCCAGTGTCAAAGTCAGAAGAGAATATCGAACTGAAGTTGGGCCACCTAGCCTCGGCACAGTCCCAAGAGTCAGAGCGACTGGAGTCGAGGTTCGGTGAGGTTCCGCTGCAAGCCACACAGGCTGATGATGTAGATCGACAGGAGCCAGCGACAGGTATATTGCACAACACACGCGCCGAACACAATCCTTCAGTTAAGCTGATTGGTGTTTCAGATGAAGACAAGGCTGAGTCGCTGATTGTGTTGGCAAAAACGGCCGAAGAGAACAAACCAGTGAGCGAAAATGAGGTTGAAGGAGCAGTGAAATCTGAGAGATCCTCTACAAAAGATACCCCAACCTTAGTGGAGTCGTATCAAATGGATCGGATAGAGGAGAAACCGATGTCTACATCACATTCGGTGCTTAATGTGGTGGACTCGGGGGAAGAAACGGTCGTTGCTACAAAGGTAGATCAAGACGAACAGTGGGCAGAACAATCAGTTAAGGGTCCGTTATCCGAAACCCTACAAGAACCGGTGTCAGCAACGAGTCCAGAAGTATTGGATGTACCACAGAGTGAAAAACAGAATGTGCTACAGTCACCTGGAGGTTCACAGACAGAACAACCCCTAGAAGTGCACTACAGTGGACAAATCTCTGACGAAGCTGTTTCGGGAAAGTCCAAATCTGAAGGTAAGAGCATGGTTTGCGGAGATAAGATCTCAAATATGGTAACGCTTGGTTTGGTTTACTAATCTCTAGCAATCAAACTGAGTGCCGGTGTTAAATATGGCTGTGTGGTTGCCACGTAAAATAAGTAGCATTCAAAGGTTTGAAAGCTAATCCTTCCTACTGTGGCGTGGTGATAATTTGTCGTTGGTTATAACGATGCTCCGTCCGACGGGGAAAGCATCTAAGAAAGGTCAAGCGAGTGAGTATAGCAGCGAATTCCAGCCCACAGTCATGCTTGTTTGATACAACACCGGTTGTGCGACGAAGTGCTAATTCTAATACATGTAAGCGACTGCTTTGGATCATGTTGTTAATATTCCTACATTCGGGTGTGACGCACAAAGTATGCAGGTCATTCTGAACCGCTTCGTAATTGAAGATACCAAGTTTGTAATGACCACTGCCCCCCACAAAATAAGTAGCCCCACCCAAGGATTGGCATCTACCTGGCTCTTAAAGCATGATGCCTGGATAAGTGGATCGCTTCTTCTGCCTGGGCTGCTGCGTTTCTTGATGGCAACATTAGTAGAGATTTCTCTTCTCAGTGGCAAAGCCCGATCTGTATTTGCCATCTGTGGAAGCGTCTTGACGTTTTACTCTCGGCAGAGAGCAGGATCTATCATGCCTATGTTCGTATGGTACTATTGTATGGAAGTGAGTCCTAGCTTATCCGTGTGAATGGCATGTGTCGGATTCTGACCTATGACAACGGTTGACTGCGGAAGAGAGCTCGTGTGTGATGGGAAGACCAAGTTTGCAAGGCTGAAGTCAGACATCGCGTCTAACTTAATACAGACCTCTCAACAGACTAGTAATGTTGTATATATATATATATATATATATATATATATATATATATATATATATATGGGGGCTGAGATACACCGCTATACTCATTCTTAGGTACTGAATCCCATCTTGCAGGTACATTACGTCGGGTCGCGTTTTAGCGCAGTTAGATTTCAATCCGTGGTCGGCTATCGTCTCCAATGGATCAGTGGCGCAAGCTAAGAGCAGTTATGGGCTCGAATCCCAGCAGGGTACCGGGAAAATGCGCAGCGCCGACGAGTCCCAACGGGGTGAAACGGTCGGCTGGTGCTTTTCCGGATACGTAGTTAACCATTGTGACTAGCAATGTAATTGCGATGAACCAAATAAAACATTGCATTTAGTGCATGCTGGCCGGTGTGATGGGAGTTCCATGAACATACAACAGATGGCAAGAAGTCAGCCGCTCCTTTACACAGGTGTTTGGACAGTGGTTTTGCTCTTAACCTTCTTTAGCCGCACAAACAAATGTCTACTAAGTGGTGAAACGTTGATACCTGACTGCATAACAATGAACAATGAATTTATACGGGTTAAGAAGCGTTGCTTTACAAGTCCCGTTGGATACTTGGTGGGGATATCAACATAACAATAATGATGATAAGGATAGTAAAATAGTTAATACTTTAATACGAAAATAAGGACTTATCGTTTGCTTCGCTGCAGTCCTGCGATCCTCTTAGATTCACAGCACCCACAGTTAACAACAAATAATTCCATGGTAAACTCCAGGTGTAGGGTGGAGACGTAGTGTTAAGTAACAAAGTGTAAGTGGATGAGTGCATCGTCCAACCGTTTTTTAAATACTGTTAGTGTCGGTGCAGAGACGACCGATTCTGGGAGAGCATTCCACGGGTGACAGACACGGATGGAAAAGAAATTTCTGCGGCACTCCAGACGACTGTATTGTTCTGCGAGTTTTAATGAGTGGCCCCTCAGGTTTGTATTGCTGCTGAGTTGCAGTAAAGGGCGGCACACATGATGTGGGTCTCGCAGAATCAAGTATGCCATAATCAGGTCGCCTCGTAGTCTGCGATAGCTTCCACTGAACAATCCCAGTCGTCGCAGCCTCTCCTGGTAGGAACGATTGCGCATTCCAATTACGTTCTTAGATGCCCGGCGTTGTGGCTGCTCCAGTGCATTAAGATCGTGTTTCAGCCATGGATGCCAGGCTTGAATTGCATATTCGACATGGGGGCGAACATACGCACTGAGCATTTGTCGAAATATGGAGCTGTTTATTTGTCCAAACGCCCGCCTCAACAGCCCCACGTGTTGGTTTCCGGTCTTCGAGGCCTTTTCGGATTGCCTGGAGCAACCCAAGTCATCTTGAACCAGGACACCCAAGTCACGTTCGAGAGTTGATTGTTGCAGTACATCCGTTCCGAGTCGGTATGAGTAGCTGCTTTGATGTCAGATGGAAAGCACCTTGCATTTACTGACGTTGAAATGCAATAGGTTTTGGGTCGACCATTGATACACCGTATCTAAATCACTCTGAAGCACATGTTGGTCGGTGTTCGCCTGGATCCTGCGCCAGATCTTGATATCGTCGGCAAACATTAGGAAGTTTGAAGCGATTCCCTGTGCAAGGTCATTAATAAACACCAAAAACAAACGTGGACCTAGAACTGAGCCTTGCGGCACACCACACTCCACTTGTATGGGGTCCGATAAAGAGCTCCGAACTCTGACCACTAATTGCCGTTGAAATAGAAAGTTGGCGATCCAGCTTAAAAGAGGGTCGCCGATCCCGTAATGCTGCAGGTTGGATAGTAGTATGCGATGGTCTAGACGATCGAAAGCATTGGAAAAATCCAGGTAGATCACATCAACACCTTCTCCAGCGTCGGCTGCCTCGGTCCAACTACTGCGTGCAATTAGTAAATTAGTTGTACATGACCGCTGTCGATGGAAACCGTGCTGTTCAGGAGTGATGAGGTTGCAGTTTTCCAGATAACACACCAGTGCATCGGCAACTATGGATTCCATGACCTTGGAGAGTATAGGAAGAAGGGTTACTGGGCGGTAGTTGGAGGGATCAGTTCTGCTTCCACCTTTGTGAATCGGGCTTATTATTCCAAGCTTCCACATGGCGGGAACTTGGTTCTGGTCTAAGCAGTGCTGGAAAAACTGAGCTAAAGGTCCTGCCAGTTGGTTTGCTGCTGCTCCCAATGCCTCTGGACGAATGGTGTCGACACCCGGCGAGCTGTGTTTGTGTAGAGAAGTCAGCTTTTGCAATACAGCCTCTGCGGTAAAATTGATGTGGGTTAGTCCTGGTGAGCAGAATATAAAGCTTGGTAGATCGCTTGGTGGCAAGACTCCTTGAAACGTGGGGCCGTATTGCATCTGCAGCGCGTTTGCAGCTTCCATAGACGTTCTTGTTGGGCCATCAGCCGTCTTGAGTGGAGGAAATCCTTGCCTCCCCTTTCGTAGGCTATTAAAGTGCTTGTACAGCAGTTTGTGGTTAGCACTGAAGGTTTTTGCGATGTTCTGCTGATAGGCGGCTTTGTCTTCTCTTAACAGTTGAGTGCAGTGGTTACGTTGGGCTACGTAGTTCTCCCAAGTTTCTGGTGCTGGAGCTTCTCTGTACACTCGCCATGCTGCGTTGCGTACTGTCATCCATTTTCGGGTTCTGCTCCTAACGAAAGAAACGGATTTGCACTTATTGCAAGCTTTTATCTCTGAAGCCTGTGCAATCAGCTGACTGAATGTGTTGACGAACTCGAGCCAGGCGACTTCCGGGAGTTCTTCTTCGAGGAAAGACCATGTTGTGGCGCTGACTAGCTGGGCGAGTCGGTCGTACCTTGTGATGGTTCGCACAGTATCATCGTTATCATTCAGATATTCTGCATAGCAGATGAAGTTGAAACTGATGACTGCGTGATCACTGCGACCCAACGGGCAGTCTAAAACCAACGCATCAATCATATGCTCCTCGTTGGTAAGCACAAGATCCAGCACAGATGGCCTGTTACCAGTTCTGAACCGAGTGGGCAAAGTGATGTGGTTGTAAAGAGGAACAGTAGTTACTAGATCTTGTAAATCGGTTTTGAATTGTTCTCCGATCGTGGCAGGGGCTTATAAACAATGTACGTTGAAATCACCCACGATAAGAATGTGAGTGTACTTTTGTTGTAAACTGCACCTTAAAGCAGCCACTAGGTGGTAGTCGGTTTCGGGTGTTGAGTTAGGGGCGCAGTACACCAAGACAATAAGGCAAGCGTCCCTGCCTTTTAACTGCAACCGGCACCAAAGAGAGTCGGAGAACTGCGAGTCTGAATCCTCCACGGCTTCGCACTGTAAGTCGTTTCGGTAGTACAGGATTACCCCTCCTCCTTTTGTGAGCCTGTCGTTCCGGATCAGCGACATGCCGGGTAGCGACACTTCAGCGTCCGTCATTTCCGTGTGCAACCATGTCTCGGTGATACCAATGATATCATACGAGCCGGAAGCTTGGCGATCTTTCAGTTCAGCCAGTTTGTTAGAAAGTCCCTGAGCATTTGTATACAAGCAGGCCAGTTTCTCGGTCTCTAGGAGCCCGCAGAGAGGTGAAGCTGTCAAGTGTGGGAGAATGCCGACCGATGGGAGGTCGGCAGTTACTTGTTTTTTTGATGGGTCAATGATACCTCGTTTGCAACTTGATTCGGCCAAGGTGCGTCCCAGCCTTCGTTTAGACCTACGTCAGAGTCAATTAAAGCAGCAGTCAAGTTACACTTCTGTACATTCGTCAGTATGCTTGCTGCTTCAGTTGCTTTAATATTTGAGCTGTGCAAAGTGTTTGCGATCTTTAACCGAATTTCGGAAGGAAGATGTTTCCGATTTCTCCGCCATCGATCCAAAACATCCTTTGCTTGTTGCTCTGACTGAACCACAAGTTTTAGGATTCTAGGGCCGCATCCTCTATAATTCGATGAGAGAGGTATCCTGGTGAGCGATAGTGCCACAACATCATCCAAAGAAAGTGTTTCACGAATGAACCGCCACTGTTCTAAATCGTGCTTTCCGATCTCTTGAACATCGTTAGAAGGATGTTCTGGCACGCCATGTATGAAGACTGTGTTTAGGCGGTCTTGCTTGCTGTGCCCCTCTTCGGTGTTTCGTTTTGGTTGTCGCGCGCTCCAAGGGACATC